AAATAAATAAGAAGTGTGAACTTAATCTAAGCAGAAAACTGATCACCCAGAATTGATCTGTGTGTTTCTGTGAGGAATAAATCCAATGACATTCTCTGCGTAGCTCATGAATGAGGTGTAGTTTGGATTAGTTACCCTAGTTACACAGGCACACCTACTTCCAACTCCTACATCAGTTTACAGAATCATCTTCCCAATCAATCCATCTTTTTCTATTTCTATTTCTATATCTTTCTATATCATTCATACAAACCCTCGTTAGACTCAGCAGCACGACTGAGACATTGTTTTGCTGTCTCCTATTTCACCACCAGATGTCACTGAAACAAAGCTTTGAATGAATTAACCTATTTTTAAAACAGCTGATAAAATGGTTAAACACTGCTTCATTTGCGCATCACTAGCATATTGATGTGGCATCCTGGAGGATCTGATAGGGTCCAGGTATCACCTCACACTGACAACCAGCCAAATGCAAAACTAGTGAAAAGAAACAGTCAGAAAAGATGAAAAGGGAAACATGTGAGTGGCCTCCACCTGCCAAACCATTCCTGTTTTGGGGATTGTCTCATTGTTACCTCTCTAGTGCATTTTCTGTCAATTTGATTGACACCAAAGGAGCTGAAACTAATTAACAATTAACTTAACTGACCAGATTAATATCGTAGAAGTTTAACTGACTTCACTCTGAATAAAAAAATGTTCTTTTCATTTTTTTGAGCGGTGGGCGTGGGGAAAGCTGTTACCTCAAGTGTCTGGATGTGCTCAAACTTGTCTGCGTCCCACTGTTTGATCTTCTTGTCCTTCCCTGCTGTGAAGAACAGATGAGTCTTGGGAACAAACTGGAGGAACATGACACTGCAAAGAGAAAACAGAGGAAAGAAGTTATGAGACAAAGCAGACTTAGATCAATTTCAAACAAGGAGACAGGAAAGAATATTACACAACAACACATTTCAAAGGAAATTAGAAAAAAAGTGAAAGAAAAATCACATTTAATCAAAAATTAATTAACAATAGAAAAGCAATCATCAAGTACAGAAACTGAGATGGTCCATGAGAAACCAGAGGAGCGTGCAGATGAAAGAGCAGCTGGTGTGAAGTCACGGGTCGGTGTGAGTTAACAGGACACAGATCAGAGTCTCTAACCACAGAGATGAAGTCAGGGTTGGAAGCTAAACTGCCCAGTAGATGACTTCATCACTGAGTAAAAAACTCTTTTATTTCCAGTTGAACCTCTGACTGTTTGGTTTGGGTCTGTGCTGGGCAGTACCTGTCGTCATGAGCAAACATGGAGCGGTGACAGTCGCCAAAATCCAAACCCCAGATCTTCACGTTTCTGTCGGCGGAGCCAGTGGCAATAATTGTGCTATCCTGGTTAAGAGACACACGAGGTCAGAGTCAGGAAGACCGTGGGCTGAAGTGATTGTTCTTGAGTCTGAGTCTTGCAGCTAATAATTTTAATGTGTCAACAGTACTCACGTGTGAGATGTCCAGACAAAGTACAGGCAGCTTATGTCCATACAGAGACAAGAAGAACTGGAGCAGCAAAAGGAAGAATGTGTAGATATGATGTAAACAGTGTGCGGTAAATATAAATTTAAGTCGAATCTTTTATGTCGAGCGTACCTTAAGTGTGTCTGTGTAGAAGATCTTGACTGTGCAGTCTAACAAAGAGACAGCCAGCAGTCTGTGGTCAGGAGAAAACTTCACACAGAGAACGTCTTCCTCCAACTGCAGAGTGCGTTTGTGCTTCACTGTCAACCGTCTGTATCTCACACACGCACACACACACACACACAAAACAACTCTGCAGGTAAGTCGTGATGCAATATCAACACAATTTTCAACATCGCTGCCTTCACCATATTTAGCAATGGTTCATATTGCACCTAATGCAAATAACAGGAATAGTAAATTGGGCAGTTAGGGCCAAATATTACTGGACACATTCTTATTGTTTTACATGCACATCGTCCAAAAGAGCATCTCCAGCATATCCAGGTTATAGCAGGAGTCTTGAGTTGAAGAAAACTGTTGCATTAACTGTGTGTCAGCTATGTTGACACACAATACTTTGGGCTCTTCCCTTACTTTCCAAGGGCTCAACGCAGCAGATGGATCTGCGTACTTGAATTGGGACTGATTTAGACAGGACGCCTTTTCTGACACAGTCAGTCTCAGGGACCTCCTGAGTCTGCAAAACTACACATTCACTCATCCATCTCCTCTTCAGCATCCAAATGTGGACCTTTCCCCCCCTTTTAAAGGCTGAAAATATTAATTTAATATACATGAACACAAATCAGAACTGATAAGAGTGGACATGACGAGAAGTCGTGTTCAGAGACATGAAAAAAAATGTAAAATTTGTGTCCAGTAACATTCAGCAGTAGCATGAAGGCCGTGGCTACAAACTGCTGTGAGATTATGTTAAAGAGAAGACTTCATGAAAAAAACAACAACAACAACAACAACAACAACAACAACAACAACAAAAAACGCACACACAGCAGATTCACTGCAAAGTCTACTTAAATATTAAGATCAACCAGATTGACAATATGGAGAGTTAGAGCAATGGTTTGATTGAAACAGAGGCCATGTAATGTATGGGAATGTCCCGATCAGGTCTGCTCAGACTTGGTCTATTTCTACAAAGATGACTGGAACCACAACCACAGGCAGTTGTGTTAATAGCGCTGACAAAGTATTTAGAGAGGATTGGTGAGTTTTGGCCATCAGGTAGTCACTGTCT